TTTTTTTTACTGAACAAATATTTATTTACTGTAAGTAAATGTTTAGTTGGCAGTATTGAACTAAATATTTATTAAGATTGACTATATTTTTTTCTCAGTGTTAGAAACATTTTTTTGAATACCAACTTCTTCTTGCAATTTTTCAATTTTTTTCCTGTATCCTCTTTGCAGACGTTTGTGCTTCTTCTTCATTGCAAACCTTAACCTTTCTGACTGTTGTAACTGTTTTTGCAGTCGTTCAATGATTCTGGAATTGTCCGAAGTAGTCGACCCATGTTCAATTTGACCCTCAGTAGTTTTATCCATTACAATGTGACTCTCTTCGTGTAAAATTTTGTTCCTGGTAGCATCTGGACCATAATTTTCAGTTTCTGTGTTGAGTGTTGTCTGTTCCCTGTCGGAAACATTTGCTGCTGGACTTCTTGTAATTTCTAATTCGTTTTGTATTATCTTCACTTCTTTATTTACCGATACGGTAAGTATCGATATACTTTCTTCTTCAATTTCGGTAGACACTGTTGACACTGAAAAGAATAATATTTTACACAACTCTGTTAGGAATTAGTTCTAATTACCTTTATATATCTGCATATTTTTATATTATTAAAATAGAGATATTATACTTAACACTATATAAAAAAATTTATATAATTGCACTTAAAGAAACGAATTTTTTCTACTTGGGAAAAAATGTTCACAATCACATGATGCTGTCCTCGATTCCGTGAAATTTTTATTTTAAGGATTTTTTCATGTCTCCAAAACTATGAGTGTTATTCAGATGGCCTGTCTTAAATGCCTTAATTGTATATTAACAACACCTTTTCATTGCAAGCTTGTGAACGATTTATTACTTACCATTAGTGATTTTCTGATGCTTTTGCTGTCTCACAAGCTCACCAAATATTGTTGGCCCCGTAGACGATTTTAATTTTTTGTTTGATCCATCATCTTCCCACATATCAGCTATAAAGTGAAACTGAAAAATAGAAGTGTTTAACTTAGCTTTTTTTTTATTCTATTACTGATCCGCAGTCATTGATTTCAGTAAATAATTTTTCAAATTATACTAAAATAGGAAAAACATAATGTACCTCGCATAATGCAGCACAATAATTAAAGGTTTTATCTTCCATTCCACAATTTATCAGCCACGTACGTAATCGCTGTGGATCTCTTGGAAAATTACACATTTTCGAACCATTTCTATTTGAATTACTGCATCCTTTTGCAGCACACGTGACCATTGTAAAAATATTCTGAATATACAATCAAGCATTTTAAGTGTTTCAAAATTTTATTTTTAGTAATTATGTAATGAAGTAAAAGTAAAAACTTACCACTTGACTTTACATGAATATAAACTTCACAAAAGTAAGGTTATATGTCACGTCTCATGTATGTCAGACAGACACTATAGACGACCAATCTATAGTCAACTGGATCTGATCGTAAAATCGCGGAACCAATCAGCGATAGGCACATGTATTGGCTTCACCCTCCTTATACCCACTCTAATCCGAACTAAAAATTTGAAAATTCAAAATGGTTGAATCAATATGGCGGATGGAATTCTTAAAGGTCTTTCGATTACAGCCAAATTTCGTATAAGAAGTTTTAGGGGTTGCTGATCTCGAATCCGGATTAAAAATTTGAAAATTCAAAATGACTGAATCAATATGGCGAAGGGAAATGCTAAGTCTTCCAATTTCAGCGAAATGAAGCATTAGAAGGTTTTCGAGGTCGCTAATGTCGAATCCGAACTTAGAATTTGAAAATTCAAAATGGATTTAGGGCGCGCATGAAATGGGCTAGTTCATGTTAAAAATAAAAGTACCTATTAGATACCTTTAAGGTACATTTAAAATACCTGTACCTGTACCTAGGTATTTT